CTATAATGCAGTCCGCATAAAAACCGGTTCGTAGTTTACATACGCGGAGTTTGAGCCGGATGTTAGCAGTCGCTCGCTGTTATCAGGGCTGCTATTATCATAGATATATATACCAACCAATGGATTGCCAACTCCTTCACTTTCCCCAGTTTCATCTTCAGTCTACCACCAGGTGGCAGCAAAAAGTGTACATGCAACTTCCTGTTTAGTGCTGCTAGCGTGAATGATTGAACATTTTTATTTTTCCTGAGCAAATTAAGATCAATTAAGCTAAATAAAGCATGTATGATGATCTGTTTGACATCTTAGATCAAGTTGAAGAAGAAATTGAATTAAGTAGGCCTACATAAACATTATGAGTACAAAAGTCATAAAAATAGGCATAAAATGATAAAATAATAATCCTGCAAAAATCACTGAAAATAGTGCATAAAACCATAGATATATATATATCTATGATAAAACTTAAAAGCCATTGCGGCATTGTTTAATCTTTTTACCCTTTATCATGTCTAGGCCTAGCATTAAAAAGCATAACATAAGCTTATAATGGCTTAAAAATCACTGTACCGGTAGATCTTGATCACCGACTCTTCAAGATAGATAATAGGCTTAGTAGTAGCCCAACACAAAACGTTACAGTACCGGTAGCTGTATAGAATTTACTGTCATAGAAATATAGGCCTAACCAAGTGACACACTAAATATACACTCTGGATCAGTACCATGAGTACCCGGTGTGGTCATTAGCTGTTACTCCTTGATACATTTTAAGACAATTTGCGTCCTTCAATTATAGGAAGTATAGACTCGCCTTACAGTGACAGTGATGAAGAAGTGCAATCAAGAGCATCAGGCAACAAAGCAAAATGTTCATCTATAAAGCCAACTAGGACCAGTGTCGGTAGGCAGGTATGCTAGTCCTTAATTCTAAGTCTAAACTACTAACCCTGACCCAATTTCTAAATACTGTACCACAAGCCAAGTTATAAAGTGTATGGTAGGGTTAGTGTTAGGTTCAGCTTTGTTTCATTCCTAGGCTATATTCATAATCATCCAGGCTTTTAATTACAGTTTCAGGTTTGTGCACTAAAAATCATGGCTTTTCCTTTTTCAAGTAAAGTTAAAAACATCTCTAATAGTGGTTCACTATATAATTGCAGGTGACCGAGGAGATCCTGAAGAAAGTGCTTTATGAAATGGTCAGTGATGGTGGCCTTTCTGATGATGTGCATTAGTGCATTGAAAATATCACTGGAAATAAGCAAGGTGATTAAGAAATTTTATACCAGTACCAGTTCTCATCATGTGTAAAATGGTACAAAAAACTGTGTTGCATTACCCCGGTACCGCAGTACTATCAGTAATATCTGTACTTTTCAGATATCAACAACCTTGTGAAGGCCTTAAAATGGCAGGATGGCTGCATATCACAAAGAGGCATATTTAAGGCTGCAGCTCGAGAAAGATCATAACAGAAGTTCCATACTCAGATGTTAACAGATATGAAAATGGCAGAGGATCTCGTTGACTGCTTACAAACTGCTGCCATGATTTCACTACGATTGTTCACAACACTCCTTGATTACAATTATACCTGGGATGACACAACAGAAATTGGAGAAATCGTGCTAGCAGAGGAAGAGAACAGCATTGTGTTGTATGTTGGAGGGAGTGTCATTCAGAAATTAAGAAAGATGGCATTCCGTTCTTCAAAAATGTCTGATAAAACTGCCATGCTTGACATACTGCACAAATTGTGCACAGATGGAAAATCTAGTACCGGTACAAATGGTGGCATGACTAGTATTCTGAATAGGGGCGGCCTCCTCAGACTATGACCAAATGTGGGTTTTATGTATATTGTAATGGAAACTATTTTCCGTCAGATGCACTCTACAACCCAGTCGATCTCTGAAATTTCATATTTGAATTCATGCACTACAAGTGAGCAAATTGTTTGTGCATTTTATGAAACCACTTACACCTCGTTTGGGTCAGAAGAACTGAAAGAAAATCTACTCAAACAAATTATAAAACTGTTCTTTAAAATACGAGTGCACAATAAATGCAGGAAAATGATGGACAACTTCAGATGTAAGACCAAAATTGCAAAAAAAGAGAAGGGAATCCGAAAAAAGCTAGAAAAGTCACAAGAAAATGTGAAATCAGACTGAATACCATAATGAGTAGACTCTTATCTGTGATATATAATACCAAAAGTTAAATTCCAGTTATTAAATTCAATATATGAAACCATTTTCAACATGGAGTCAATTCAATCGGTGTACACTATTGTCTATGGTTCCAAGAATTATTTCAAACATGTGTTTACAATATAGCAGTGTTTATCCAATCTATATCTTAATTCTTCAGTGTCTTATTCCTCTGACGTTTTATCTTCTTCATTGGGCTTGACGTTATTTCGATGTTATCTTTTCGTTTTCTTGCACCAGAGACATTACCCTTAGGACAAATTGTGAGTGCTAGTGACCGTTGGATACGGATCTTATTTTCCTGGTATCTGAAATTACACAAAAAATTTTTTTACATGTTATTCAATCTATAGAATAATATTTCATTTGACCAATAATCTAAATATACTCTGTAAATTCTATTTTCCAGTCCATAAAATAATTAGACAAATGGTTCTAGGAATGGGTTAACTTTCCTCTATATGTTCGGATGGAAAGAGAGGGAGCTTGTGTTCACATCACTGTCAAACCATCATAAATGGTTAAGTCCAAGCCAGTTCCAGTCTATCACCTACCCAAATGTCCACAATGTAGGGTTTTCAGATCTTCTTCCCATACCTCGGTGTCGACCAAAGTGCTCTTCCAGGGGATCCTGACAGAACTTGTTTGTCAGTACAAATTTGACACCATTCTTCAGTAGGTCCTGTGTGGCTTCTATAGCTGCATTCGCTGAAAAAATAAAATCATTATATAAACCATAGCAATTTATACATTTGGAAATGTGTTCAATTTTTTAATTGTGGTACATGAAGATAATAACTAATCTGTTGTCCAGAGCTCCTGGTAAGTCTGATCACTCAGAAACATCTTTCCCCGCTCAGTTTTCGTGTATTCTCCAGGACGGCTTTCAACACATTTTTTCCATTCACTGAGATATCCAAGGAATTCCTTCTGTAAGAACTAAATTGAGAAATACAATGTATTAATAGCGTACCAAGCCATTGCATCATTAATATTAAAATTTAAACCGACTTCCAAAGACAGCTTTAATAGCTATGTCATGATTCAGTTGGATTGAAATAAGATTTATAATGCACCTCGAACCGTGGATCCTTCACATCAGTGTATGGTAGCAGATCTGGTTTACGTTTATATTTGCCTTCGTTGACAGACCGAACGTTCAAACAATCAAAGAAGCGATCCATCAGCAAGACAAATTTGGCAGTTTCTAGGACATCATCTCTTCCTGAGGCTTTAAGTAGTGTTCCTACTGAATAGCTGAGTACCTGTAGTGGAATAAATTGTAATGAGATCTATTGTTCAGGACTGGGGAAGGAAACAACTTTTGTCGTATTCAATTACAGGCTGCTGGCATACCTGAGCAGCCAATTTGACATTCATCACAGAATGTGGTGTTAGGTTGATGTGGTCGCATGTTAGCCTGGTTCGGTGAAGTTCAATCTTGGTATCTTGTTGATAAAGGTCCACAATATGTTTCCACAGCAGATGACGGCCATTGTTCTGGAAAATAAAATGGCACAATCATAAATGGTCTGTCCCTTTAAAACTGCTCACTGGGGAAATATAAAATATTATTCTCTTTATATCAATTTTGACTATTTAATGTAAAAATAGAACTAGGGCCTATAACATGTACTTACCCAAAAATATTTGGTATTTGAATTAGATCCTGATTTTGAGAGGTTGTTTCTCACTGTTTTGATGAGATGCGGAACATCAGAGAAGAAGTACAAGTATCTGTCACGTGCCAGCAGATTCACCGTCTTGTAGCAGCAACTTCCGCCATTGTGCAGCCTGTACAATTTCTGATTGGGGGACGCTTTATCACTGGTTGAGCAGATAACCTAGAAAGTATAAAAAACACGAAATCATTGCATTTATAGTATACTAGATCAAGTTTTCATATTCATGGTTTGCAGGTGAAGTACTGCCAAACTTTCAATTCCACACTTACATTTATCTTGAGAGATTTTAGGTTTAATTCACTGTATCATTATTATGGTGATTAATAGCTTTTATAGTACCTTCAGCTTACACGATGACTCCAGATATGAAATAGCCTGCCACATGTATGGATGTAACACATCAGCTGTACCAGTTTTTGTAGCAAAAAAACCAAGGCTCATCTTGATGTTGGTGTTAATCCCGACAATGTAAAACACCAGTGCATGAGTTGCTAGATTATCCATCTCGATTGTAGATTGCCAGTGCTCACGGTTGATGAATCCAACAATTTCACTGCTTCTACGATCAAATACCAAGTCTGACTTGATGGTCATTTCATCATGTAATAGTACCACATATCGCTGATTATCTTCCAAGTTGGCAGTAGTCCTTCTCAGCTCCTGGATAACTTCTGGTAGAAACCCAGCTTTTGGGTGTATGACATTCGAATAATCACGTAGGGTGGAATGGCCAGGTAACTTCAATATACCAGTCTTACGTAGGGTGTCGTAAGCGTGAGTACTTTGAGAATGAAGGAGTATTGCAAGGCGAATCATGGCAGGATGCCATCGCATTCCCTTGTTCTTGTGGCCAAAGGCCTTCACCTGTTCTTGCCAGAATAGTTTCATTAGTGGGTCCTTGACCTTATCTGTATTCTCCATGAGAACAGACTTCAGACCATTATGAGTTTCAGAGTCGATATCTACACAATCTGATGCCAGTTTCTTTTGGATTCGATGAATTTCAGCATTCAGACGCTTTTCTTTTTGCCTTGACACCCTCAGTGCTCTCAAGATTTTCTCCTTAGCCAGTTTATGTAGGGGAGCCTTCGCACCAAGTGGTTTCTCATCTACCGCTGTCGCATGTTTCCGTTTTAGTGACTGGATGATATTGTGGCAGTTATGACATGGAGATTGTTGTCCAACCTCAAGTAATAGTTGACATGTCGTAGCACGAACTGTTGACTCACACTGTGTGGGTGAAATGTATGTTACATGTCTATAGTACAGACAACCTGAATTTGGAACTTCTGCAAATTGTTGTAGATGGGCTTCTTGTATTCCATAACACTTTGGCCTAGAGTCCAAGTCTTGTAATAATTTTGTGATCCTGCACTTTTCCACTGAAACATTGATACAGTGAACAGGAAACCCATACATACAAATCTGCACCGAGAGGTCATTCTTTATTGTTACACACAGTACAATATTGGAGCCTTCAGTATCTAGTTGACCAATTCTGATAGTGTCAACACTGCCAATGTCTGGTAAAACTACCCAAGGTGCCTTGATCTTTACAAGATCTTTTTTCACGTCCTCAATGTTGTAATATTGAACCAGTTCTGGCTGAGCTGGTGGCTTTCTGGCAGCCTGAAACAGAAAATGTAAAGCCTACTGCCATCACTGTAAATATTGGTACAGTACCATTACAAGTGTTCATCTCACTTTCACCATGTTCACAGTGATTAACATAAAAATTATGTGTAACAGAAATTTTCATTTAAAATACAGACTGCTGCATTGTTACCGGTAGTGATAATTATTTTCTTGCAGTGATATGGAGGCTTTTTTTAACAATGATGGTGCCGGTATTAAATTATGTTATTTTAAACTACATGCATTTTCCTTCTACTATAAATTTTACCTGTCATGCATCTTACTAAGTATGGTACCATACAGTACTGCCTGTTTCTAAATGCAGTTTGTCTTTGATCAAGCATCATCTAGTAGTTAATTTCACATTGCCAACATAAAATTTATTAAGTTTTTATTTTTAATCTACCAGTATTTACTAAAACAAGAAAAAAAAGATAAAATGCAAATTAAAAATAAAACTTGCAGGAAAATAGGCATGGGGAGAGCTGATAAGCATTTACAAAGCAAAAAATATGGTAACAAATAACATGCAATATCAAGAAAATATAAACATAAAACTAAAATGCTATCATAACAGTCCAAAAAATAATCAATCTTACAGGCTCCTTCCGAGGTGGTGGTTTCGGCGTTTCTATTGACCTAGATGTCATGAATTCAGTCGGCAGACTGCCATGTTTCAACTGACGCCTTCCAGTGGGTCCTGTGAACAACAGGCAATATTTTAACCAAATTATTATCACACTGACACATTTAAACCTAACCTCTGTAATCCTCCTTTTAAAAACATAGTAGAATGTATATTTTTAAACAGAATTATCTTTTTCTGCATACCACTATGAGGTGGCATTTCGCCTATACTATAGGAATGTAGGTATGAATGATCGTAAATGCCAATTTTGCCATGAACGTATGATTCAATACCGGTACCGTAGGCATTTTTTTTATTTTTTTATAACCTAGCATTACAACATTACTGTGGTAGGCCTAACATGTATACACTTTTGTACAGTAATATTTTTAGCTTATATACTTACCAGTGTCAAAACATATCTCCTTGGAGTGGCGTGAGCAAATGAATGCAGTGTCCGGATTGAAGCTTGGGTCTATTCGGTTTACAGAATGTATAATAGACTGTCTCCATTGTGCATTTTGTGGTGTATTTGATGGAATTTTGTGTAATGACAACCCTTTATGTCTGGTTCTGCATGCAGGGCATTCAACTATTGAACAATTGGCACCTGGCATTTTCATAAACTGAAGATTAGCAGGCGATAAACATACCCAGGAAGTAAACAGGAAGTCATGTGTACACTTCTCACTGACACCTGGTGGTAGCTCAACATATGAGATAAATTCTCACAGTTGGCAATCCATTGGTTGGTATATATATCTATGCTATTATGCAGCCCACATAAAAACCGGTTCGTAGTTTACATACGAAGAGTTTGAGCCGGATGTTAGCAGTCGCTCGCTGTTATCAGGGC